GGAAGGCGTATGTCGGTCGTTTCTGCACAAGGGGACACGAGGGGGCTGCCACCCCCGGCGGCCCGATATCCGCCATCAACGACACTGTCGAGTACCGGTCCCCGCGAGACGCCGACGGCCATGGAACACACACCGCCTCCACGGCGGCTGGCAGGTACGCCTTCGAGGCCAGCATGTCTGGTTACGCCTCCGGCATTGCCAAAGGCGTCGCTCCGAAAGCTCGGTTGGCCGTTTACAAGGTCTGCTGGAAAGAATCTGGTTGCTTCGACTCCGATATATTGGCCGCCTTCGACGCCGCCGTTAACGACGGCGTGGATGTCATCTCCATTTCCATCGGAGGCGGCGACGGCATATCGTCTCCGTATTATCTCGATCCGATCGCAATCGGCTCGTACGGCGCCGTTGCGCACGGTGTGTTCGTGTCGTCGTCGGCAGGCAACGACGGTCCAAACGGCATGTCGGTGACGAACCTCGCCCCGTGGCTTACGACGGTGGGTGCGGGCACCATCGATCGGAATTTCCCGGCGGTTGTGATTTTAGGCGACGGGCGGAGGCTAAACGGCGTGTCGTTGTACGCTGGATCGCCTCTGAAAGGCAAGATGTACCCTGTCGTTTATCCCGGGAAATCCGGCATGCTCTCTGGTTCGCTGTGCATGGAGAATTCCCTGGACCCCCGCGAGGTTAGGGGCAAAATCGTAATTTGTGACCGGGGGAGCAGCCCCCGCGTGGCTAAAGGTTTGGTCGTGAAAAAAGCTGGCGGCGTGGGGATGATCCTGGCTAACGGAATCTCTAACGGCGAGGGTCTCGTCGGCGACGCTCATCTTATTCCCACTTGCGCTGTTGGTGCAGACGAGGGTGATGCAGTTAAGTCGTACGTGTCGTCCACTAAGACGCCCACGGCGACGCTCGATTTCGAAGGCACTGTGATCGGAATCAAACCGGCTCCAGTTGTGGCTTCGTTCTCGGGTCGTGGGCCGAACGGGTTGAACCCGGAGATTCTCAAGCCGGACCTGATTGCTCCCGGAGTTAACATTTTAGCTGCTTGGACAGACGCGGTGGGGCCCACTGGCCTGGAAACCGACAGTCGAAAAACGGAGTTTAATATATTGTCTGGGACTTCCATGGCGGCCCCACACGTGAGCGGAGCCGCGGCTTTGCTCAAGTCGGCTCACCCGGATTGGAGCCCAGCTGCCATAAGATCGGCTATGATGACCACAGCGAGCGTGACCGATAATCGAAATCAGACCATGACTGATGAGGCCACTGGAAAGGCCTCCACGGCTTATGATTTGGGTGCGGGTCATTTGAATCTGGGCCGGGCCATGGATCCCGGGCTTGTTTATGATATCACCAATGACGATTATGTTCGGTTTCTATGTTCGGTCGGGTACGGGCCCCGAGTGATCCAGGTGATCACACGGACCCCGCTCAATTGCCCGGCCAAGAAGCCCTCGCCGGAGAATCTCAATTACCCATCGATTGCGGCGTTGTTTTCAACCGCGGGTAAGTCGAGTAAGACGTTTATCCGGACCGTGACAAATGTGGGCCAGCCCAACGCGGTGTACCGGCCCAGGATCGAGGCCCCGAGAGGGGTGACCGTAGCGGTGAAGCCGTCGAGGCTGGTGTTTAACGAGGCCGTGAAGAAGCGGAGCTTCATAGTGACGGTTGGAGTAGATAGGAAGAATGTGGTGTTTGGTGAGGCGGGTGCTGTGTTCGGGTCGCTCTATTGGAGCGATGGGAAGTATGTGGTTCGGAGCCCCATTGTGGTGACCCAAATGGATCCCTTGTAAATCGGAGGGAGGATCAAAACACGTCGTTTTGATCTTTCGTAAAGGTAGATGTACAAGTTGTGTGTTTACCTATAGGCCCAAGAGCTGGTTTTGGAGGGTTGGTGTAGTGTGAAATTTTCCTTTTTTTTTTTTTTTTTCTTTTTCTTTTCTTTAAATTATAAAATCTCCAAGTTCGTTTATATCTGTAGACTGTTAGCCGTCTATATATATATATATATATATATATTACTGGATAATATAAACTTTATGTCAATGGCCAAACAATTTTTCTTTGAAATTAAAATCAGTCAATGCAATCGGAAACCATGACGAAAATGTATATATATATTTAAGTTTTGGAATTTTGTATAATATAAATATATCATGCATAAAATAATTTATTTTTCTGAGGGAATCAAATTACTATAATATATTAATATATAGAATGGTATTGGTAAGATATTCAAAAGGGAATGAATTTCTTGGTTAATATTCCTACTCCCACTTGGTATAAATGAATTTTATAAACCATCTCATGTTTTATAATGGCATGTGGGGAAGCTCTCAAGAATGTGGGAGCACTAAGTTAATCTTTTCAAATCTTTTATTTTTGTCACATTGAGCTACCCAAATCTTTGTTCCTTTTAAATTAACAAATTAAACCATCAACGGTCTCTTTTCCTTATTAATTTATAAATTAATTCAAAGAACCATCAACCGTCGCTTTTTCCTTTTTAATTTATAAATACAATTTTAAAATCTTATACAAGCGATAATTTTATACAAGTTGTCATGGCATTTGAACCCGAGACAATTGACCTGCAAATCAAAACGAAACCTCATGGGCACAATCTATAATAACCTTACTCTCTCTTTATTTGTTGATGAATTAAGAAAACAAAGAGAACAAACACTTCAGAACACGACGATTTTTGACTTCACACTATTTTCCTTTGATTGATCCTCCCTAAATTATAGGCTAATTTCTGTCACCTATATATATATATATATATATATGTCCTATATGTGACAAGTTGGTGACAGGAAGGACCTTGCCGGCCCTGTATTAATCACGTTATGCTATACATTAGTAATCTAGCATATAAATATCAGGGTGGGTCCCATGATGGATCCACACTAATGAACAAAAGATTTGTACCCCATAATTCACCCATCTGGTAAAGAGACGAGCAATAACACAGAGGGAAACAAAAACAAAAAGGAATTCACTTCATAATATGTAATTTCGTTTGAGGAGAGATGATATAAACTATAATTGGGTTAAACTTTAGGGTTTTTTTTCTTCTTCTATTTTTTTGCCCAAGGGTTAAACTTTAAAGTTAGTGTCACGGATTGAGCATTTTTGTTAGTCAATCCAATCAATTAGTCTGCTAGATGTGATGTTTTTTCAATTGAACGTGGTCCTTTTAAATATGACTACCCGTGACAAAGAATTTGTAGTTTTGTTCTTCAGGAAAGATCATGAGTTTAAGTTATAGTATCTGTACAGGATGTGTGAATTTAGTACGTTATTACTCATCTCAATAGAAAAAATCCTTTAAAATAAAAAAACACGACTAACTCAAATTCATGTGTTCGATTCTCCATTATTTTTACATGTTTTTATTAAAATATATATGTGACTATTTGTAACACCACTACTACACTTGCTAAAGGCAAATCAGTTGGTTGAGCATGCTTTAAGTGAACAAGACGATTTATGTAATCTTTTACAGAATTGTCTTCAAAGTTTTTTGGTTGTTTGCGCTTTGAAGCATTATTTTAAGAACTAATTAGTACTAAAATAGCGCACACAGGTGTGGAATCCACTTTTTTCTTATCTCGAGTGCAAGAAAGCGAGCACATACCATGCATAATTTAAGATATGTGGACTGAAGAAATTTGTTGTTAAGATGAGATCGAAATTAAAGTATGCACAAATTGCTTGCAATTTACTCTTTCCTTTTCCTTTTTCTTTTTCTTTTTCTTTTTCTTATCTGGGCACAAAATTAAATATGCTTTGATTTGATTCGCGCTTTTCCCATGCATAATTTATCTACTTTGATGCCATCCAAAGTCATCTTTGAAGTGAGTTCCAAGTTCTGACCACAAAAGCCAGTTTTCAGTGATTAAAAAAGTTAGAATACTATCGTCATTGTCAGTTTGTGCAGAAGATGGTAGAAATGGTGGGCCTGGGTGCAACACATTGCATTGTATTGTCAAGTGGGTGAGCCAGCCCAATTTTCCCATGGCCCATGAAGAAATTCAGTTCAAGTTCCCGCCTTCACGAGCCAAGCCAAGCTACAAACGTACATGTACAGTTTCAAACTTGTTACATGTAGAGTTTTGAAATTGAGATCACTAACTTATAAGTTAATTTCATTTTTTATTGAGCTAGACCTCGTTAGCAAAGTTTGTACATATTTGGTTTTACCCTATTTTGTTCCAGTAACTAAAATACTATCATATCATATACCCTCATTAGCAAAGTTAACATGAAAAAAAGCTAGAGAGAGAAACATATTTCATCTACACTAACGACTTGTCTACTGATGACTCCACACACATATCAAGATATGTAATTTATGCTCATTAAATTCCTCCTTTTGCTATTGTATAAATCATCGAGTTCAACATCTTAGATCATATGGATCATGAATTCAGTCTTATTACTTTTCTCAATATTATATTTACAGCTCCACCAAAACTAGGTAAGATCTACCCATGTTTTTTGCTATTGTAGAATAACAGCTCCACCAAAACACAGACGGCATTTTTCTTGGCAAGAAATTATGCAGCATTGACCACATAAATTCGTTCAAGCAACTATGCCAACAGATTCCTCCATCGCAGAGCTTAAAGCTCACAAGTGTGGCATTGGAATTATGGAGCACCAACAATGCTGCTACCTCTATGAGAAGAGCAACAAATACAAGAATGAAGGAGAAGATGGCAGAAATCAGAACGAGAGCAACGTTCGAGAAGTTCAATTCTAAGAACTTGAGGGCCAAGATGTTTAAACCCCAAATGTAGGTCTAGTTGGATGCAAGAGCATCTGAGGTCCTCATTTTAATGTAAAATAGGGTTAGAATTTAAATAGATAAATGAGACTTGCTAGCACTTTATATATAGAGGGAGCATTTTTAGGGTTTATCAGATAAAGTTGAAAGGAGAGTGAGAGTGGTTCAGCTGGAAATTGATTGAAAAATAATCTAGTTGTGGAGCTTGATGTTGATGGTTGTGGTGCAATGAAACTTTAAGTGGCTTTGGATTATTTTGAACATTTGATGCACATAAAACCAAGGTACAATATGTATTGGATTTGGACCCAACCTGAGTGAAGGCATAACATAAGGGTAGAATTCTACAGCGAGGAACTTATTTGAGGCGTTATATGGGGATCATCTGATTGCCATAACTATTGGAAGATCTTTATCTGAAAAAAAAAGGGCTGCTTTTTTGCAATCTCTGGATCAAATCTTATCCCCAATTTTCTGAACAAGCAGGCATCTTCTTGCATCAGAGGTTTTGAGCATGGGAATATATTAGAGCAACTCCACCCATATTGCCCTTAGCCATGGCAAGGGGGGAGCTAGGGCAGCCACTATTCATGTGAATAGTGGTTGGCCCTGCCACATTA